CGGGGGTCCCGGTTCAATCTGCAGCCGAGATGCTTATACATACATACATACATACATACATACATACATACATACATACATACATACATACATAATTACATACATACATACATACATACATAGACAGATAGATAGATAGATAGATAGATAGACAGATAGATAGATAGATAGATAGGTAGATAGATAGATAGATAGATATACGTGTATGCATGCTGTGTGTTTGTGGATATGTATGCGCGTACATGTGCGTGTGTATATATATATATATATACGTGTACTATAAATATATATATATATATATGTGTGTGATTATATCAAGCCCGGATGTACCCTAGACAGAAAGAGTGAGGTACTGTACACGTCGAGCGCATAATGTATAACATGTACGTCTGCGTGCAACAGTCGTTCCTTTCGCTGCGGCCTTTTCAATACACAAAGGCAGCATGGCCGCTTACGGAAATTCAGGCCAAATTCAGATCCAAAGCATTGCGAAGTGGGGGCGGTGTTCAAAGCGGTTAGTCCAACTCTTCAAACTGCTATAAAAACTGCGAAACCCCATAAATGCCTTGAGCCCTAAACCCTAAAACCATCAAGGAAGACCAAAAAGCCCTTCATGGAACCCTAAAGATACACTTTATCTTGTAAGCCCCACGCCGAGTGAGTAGGCAGATGACCTCGAAGACGGGGTGCCTCCTGGCGGATTGGGGTTTAGGGATTTAGGGTTTAGGTTTACTGCTTTTGTGGATTTCCTTTTCTGTATTAAGGGTGTAAGGGTTCCTTTCAGGGGTTCACTTTAGGGCTCCTTCTTTTCGATCACAAGGGTTCCTGAAAAAGGTGTTTCAAACGGCTCCGCAAAGAGTTCTGCAAGAGCATTTGAAGTCCCTTGTCGAATTCATGTTAGCGGGGTTTGGGGCTTAAGGTTTGCGGTTCGGGTTGGGTTAAACCCTAAACCCTAAACCCTAAACCCTAAAAGTTCAGGGCACTGAGCTTTGGGGGTTAAGGGTCAGGGGAGACGGGTTCCACAAAACCCGCAGAGTCCCATGTGACACCCGTGAGGCCCTGCCAACCATCGCTGAAACGGTAACCTAAACAGGGTTTAGGGTTTAGGGCTTAGGGTTTAGGGTTTAGGGTTTAGGGTTTAGGGTTTAGGGTTTAGGGCTTAGGGTTTAGGGTTTAGGGCTTTAGGGTTTGAGGTGGTTTTATGTCACTGGGGAGGCGAACTTCAACGGTAACGGACATGGCGAAGGATCTCTGCTGTTGATGATAGGAACCCTGCATTAGCTTAAGGACCCTAAACGATGGGAAGTATGGTATATCCCTGACTATGGGAAACCCTATACTCTGATAGAAATCCTGCATTACCTGGAATTATGGTATATTCCTTATTACTTATGGGTGACCCTAAACCCTAAACCCTAAACCCGAAACCCTAAACCGTAAACCCTAAACCCTAAACCCTAAACCATCATCAACCGTAGCAAGCTCGGGCCTGTGCGCTTCGCGGTTTTGTCAGGGCTCCGGGCTGGGGTTTAGGGTTTAGGGTTTAGGGTTTAGGGTTCCGGGCTGCGGTTTAGAGCTGTCGGATTCAGGAGAAAACTTTCGGATGTCTAGGGTTGTTTAGGGTTTAGGGTTTAGGGTTTTAGGGTTTAGGGTTCAGGGTTCAGGGTTTCGGGTTTCGGGTTTAGGGTTTAGGGTTTAGGGTTTAAAGCTGTAGGTTTTAAGGATTGTCAAAAGCCCTTATACCACTATGTAGCCTAGAATCCCTTTTGAAAATGTTCCCTCTCTGCCCTGCCGTGCCTCACCATTTTCAGGTGCCCAAAGACTCCAAAACCCCTTAATTAAGGAATATACCTTAAATTATATTAGGATCCCTCATCCGATTTAAGGTATAGTCCTTACTTAAACGGTCTTGGAGTCTCTAAATATATCACTGCAGAAGAGATTTGGGGTTCAGGGTGTAGGGTTTAAGGGGCTAAGGAAAGAAGCCTTCCAATCGTTGTCATGAAGGGCTCATCTGCTTCGCCCGCTCACATACAACTTGCATTTATCACTTACAACTGTACTTACTAAGTCCCATCCCTAGACCCTAAACCCCTAAACCCCTAAACGCCTAAACCCCTATAAACCCTAAACCCCTAAACCCCTAAACCCCTAAACCCCTATAAACCCTAACCCCTAAACCCTAAACCCTAAACCCTAAACACTAGAGGCTCCAAGTACCTCTAACAATTAGCGAGGCTCCTGCGGCGAAGTCCCCTACGTTCCCATACCAACACCCTACAAACCACGTCTCTGCAGTGCCCTACAAACCAGATCTGCACAACAAAGAGGGTCTAGGGTATAGGGTTTAGGGTTTAGGGTTTGGGGTTTATGGTTTAGGGTTTAGGGTTTAGAGGTAGGGTTGAGGGTAACCCTAAACCCTTAAACCCCACATGCCATATCTGCAGAACAGAATTGCCAAGGCCGTTTGAGTCCGGCTAGAACCCTGGAAGCGCCTGCTGGAAATGCCACGGGCGCTTTCACGGCGCCTCCTGTGGCTTATGCCTAACCCAAAACCCCCAAAAATGGCCTAAACCCACTTGAAAGAATCCCGGAGATCAAGAACCCCATCCAAACCCTAAGCCCTAAAACCTAAACCCTTAACCCTAAACCCTCAACCCTCATAGAAACCTGGGACAGGGGCAGTGTCTGGGTTGGGGTTGGAGGACGTGGAGTTCAGGGTTAAAGGCAAAAGGAAAATGACCTAGGGATTTTTTGGGTTTAGGGTTTAGGGTTTAGGGTTTAGGGTGCCTGGAGTTTTTGCCTTCTGGAGGACTTTAGAGTTTGGGCTTAGGGTTTAGGGCTTAGGGACTAGGGTTGAGGGCTTAGGGCTAGGGTTTTTAAGGGGTTTAGGGTTAAGAGTTTAGGGATATCTGTGCGCCCCAAACCCGCCGTAAACCGTACACCCTACCAAAAAGTAGGTTATGACCCCTAGATCATAGGGTCTACGGGTGTTCGGCTTTAGGGGGTGGGGGCGTACGATTCAAGGGATCGCGTATGATTTAGGGCTTCAGAAGGGCTTCCGGACCGGTCTTCTGAATCCATAAGCGTTTCAAGGTTTAGGGGTCTAGGGTTTTGGGGTTTAGAAACTCTAAAACCAAAACCCTAAAGCCTAAACCTTATACACCCTAAACCCTGAACCTCATACACCTTCAACCCTAAACCCTAAACCCTAAACCCTAAAGCCTCAGCCCTAAACCCTAAGCCTTCCGGCCTCCAGTTCCTTCAGATGTTAGTAGGAACTCCGGTGTTGCTTTCGTCCTCCTCGTCGGTGCTGTCCTCGGTGTTGCTCGTGTCCTCCTCGGTGTTGCTTTCGTCGTTGCTCTCGTCGCCCTCGTTGTCAGTGAAGGTCTCTCCCCGGACTGGCTTAAATCAACGTGCATCTGCGCGAAGTTAATGGCAAACCTTTGGACTGCTTCTGAGCCACTTTAATCAAAGCGCCTCAACTTTTCGGGGTCTCCCTTGATGTTCTTCAGTGTTTCGCGTTCCTCTGCACTAAGCGAAGCCCAATCTGACGACGATGTCGGCATTGTGTGCTTGTCCTCGTTGGTGCTCTCGCTGTTGCCCTCATTGGTGTTGGCGACCCTTGCCCCGGGTTTAGGGTTTAGGGTTTAGGGGTCTTTTGTGTATGGTTCGCGGATTTAGAGTTTAGGGCCCCGAAACCACCAAACACGACATCAACGCCCAACCCCAGACTGAGGAAACCCGATAAAGCCGGAGTTTCGGGTTTCGGGTTTGGGGTTTAGGGTTTAGGGTTTAGGGTTTAGGGTTTAGGGTTTCTAAACCCGAAGCCCTAAATCAACCCATGTTTGAGAGCTCACCTGCCGAATAAAATTCGCAACCCACTTCCCAGGCGCCGCAGTAGCCCCTTAGTAAGGGTACCCTTTTTCGTACTACTCGGCGTTACTAAGGGAACCCCCGAGAACAAGGGGGAAAAAAGGTACTGCTCAAGAACCTAGCTTCTCAGCCCCGGGCTCGGCGTCTGGGACAGGGTTTAGGGTTTAGGGTTTAGGGTTTAGGGGTCTAGGGTTTAGGGTTTAGGGGTCTAGGGTTTAGGGTTTAGGGTTTAGGGTTTAGGGGTTAGCCTGAGGATTCCAGATTCACCAAAGAATTATTTTTTATCATGCTCTTGGTGATTCTCTCAGCCCCAAACCCTAAACCCTGAATTGAAAAAAAGCTAGAACCTAGGGGTCTTTATTGGTGGGTTTAGTAGGGTTTCGCAGCCCTGTTCCGCGCCGGTTTGGGGCTTACCTGGGAATCCCCAAAACCTGCTGTTTTCGCAAAATAAAGGGGTCTCACCCTACCATTATGTACCGTACGTAGGGTTTGGGATTTGGTCCGTTTGGGGTTTAGGGTTTGGCGACGGGTGGGGGCTGGTGGTTTGTATAGGGTTGCGGGGCTCCGCAGCGAAATTTCAGCCTCAAGCCTGCGGCTTGAAGCCTGAACCGTTTAGGGTTTAGGGTTTAGGGCTTAGGGCACTTTCTTAAGGACTTAGATTAAGAACTCATAAGAAGGAGCCCTAAAAAAGCTAGGTTCTTTGGGGTCCAGGCAAGCTTAGGGCTTTGGGTTTTGGGGTTTGGGGCGCCTGAACTCAGAACCCTAGGCCCTAAACCCTAAACCCTGTCCCCCTGAGTTTATGTAAGTATAGTTCTCGGTTTAGGGTTTAGGGTTTAGGGTGTAGGGTTTAGGGTTTAGGGTTTAGGGTTTAGGGAACCCTACTTAAAGGATCATGGTACTTAGTAAGTAGGGCTATGATTAAGGTAACTATACTTATAACCCCAATTAAGGGACTTCTAACCTTATTTACTAAGTCCCATGATCCTGAAAGTATAGTCTAGTATACTCTAGTTTAGTATGATAGAGTATAATATAGTGTAATATAGTATACTATAGTAGTAAATATAGTATAATATAGTATACTATAGTAGTGGGATATAGCATAATATAGTTTAGTTTAGTTTATAGTATAATATAGTTTAGTTTAGTATTCAGTCTAGTATGGTATGATATGATACCGTATCATATATGAATAGAGCTGTTTTGGTCCTGGACCCAACCGAGGCGGGCTCTGCCAGAAGCGGAATCGTCGGCAGGTGCAATCGCCACTGGCAACCGGAGCACTCCAATATCCCTTCATGAAGCAACTTTCCTTAAATGTTAGACCCTAAACCCTAAACCCTAACATGATTTACCCTAAACCCTAAGCCCCTACACACTCAATCCTAAAATCCTAAACCCTAAAATGATTTAACGCTAAACTCCTCAATTCGGCCCAATGAATCTTAAACCGCAAAACCCTAAAGCACCTTCAACCCTAAAACCCTTAACCCTGAACCCTATACCCTAAACCCTAAACCCTAATTAAACCCTGAACCCAAAAAACCCTGAACCCCATACCCTAAACCCTAAACCCTAAACCCAATAAAACCCTGAACCCCATACCATAAAACCCTGAATCTCAGACCTCAAACACTTCAATCCGGGTGCCTGCGTAAGTGTAGGCCGCAGTCCTTGGCGCCGTGGTCACGCCTCCAAACGCGAGGGGCTTCTAGGGGTTTGGGGTTTAGGGTTTAGGGTTCAGGGTTTTGGGGTTTAGGGTTCAGGGTTTAGGGCTTTGGGCTTTGGGTCTAGGGTTTAGGGCTTAGGTAAATCCCCAAACCTGAAGCCCGAATCCTATGTGGATAGGCTGCAAGGATCGACAGTACCCCCTAGGATTTAGGGTTTAGGGTTTCGGGCGTATTATCCAGAGTTCAAATCACTCAGGAGACCCCGGCCCCCTCCCCTGCCCTCTATTCTCATGTCTTTAGTTACTGGAGCTACATACTACGGCTGATGATATAAATCCTGCATTACCCATAATAAGGAAAAAACCGTACCATAATTCCCATAGTTTAATAATGTAGGGCCCTAAGGTGATGCAGGATTTATACCATCAACACTCTCTTTCTCTCTGGCTTTGTTTTCCTGATACTCGGCTTCGGGTCTAAACGGTCCTTGGTGTACGGTCTGGATTAAAGGAAACTACAGGTGGGGAGTTTAGGGTAAATAGGGCTTCTATAAGGCTCCTATAACGGTAACTACCCCCCTGAAAATGTCCGAGTCTGGAGGAGTTATGGCTGAACGCTAACGGACGTCTTTGAGCCGCCTATGCTCAGATATGCAGCTTGAGCCAACAAGAGACCCAGCCTCCTAGAAGTGCAAGATCACTACACCCTAAACCCTAAACGTCCCTAACCCCTAAGGCCCTAACCCCTAAACCCTAAACCCAAAGCCCTCACTCCGACCCCTCCTCCCCAAACACTCTTCGTTTAGTTTAGGGTTTAAGCTACCGTTATGGGGATATACAGTATATCATAGGGATTCCTTATCCTAGCAGTTTAAACCCTAAACCCTACACCCTAAGCCCTAAACCCTAAACCTGAGCTTCGCCCCAGTGAGCCCGAGCAGGGCGCCTGAGTAGGCAGTTGTCCTTGAACTGGTGACTGCACCTTCTCTGAGCACTCGTTCATGAACTTGCTTGGTTTAGAGGTTTCGGGTTTAAAGTTTAGGGTTTAGGGTTTAGGGTGGACCGCTAGTATGGGCCCTTAAAGAAGGGATCCTTATATACCTATTATATACCCTATATGTACCCTTACGGCCTTACGGGTCCCTAGAAAGGCCTAAGAGTCCATATTAGGGGCCCATACTCCTAACCTTACATTCTCTGAGCACTCCTTCATCAACTTGCTTGGTTTAGGGGTTTAGGGTTTAGCGTTTAGGGTTTCGGAGTTTGGGGTTTAGGGTTTGGGGTTTAGGGTTTCGGAGTGTGGGTTTAGGGCGTAGGGGTTTAGGGCTCAGGGATTCCATCCACCTGACTTCTGCACGAATCAGAACGTTTTCGGCACCCAAACCCTGAACAACTCCTGCCCTAAACCCTAAACCCTGAACCTAAATTTCTATAAACCCTAAACCCTAAACCCTAAACCCTAAACCCCTAAACCCTAATATCACTATTAAATTAGTATTACTACTACTAAAGGGTTTAGGGTTTAGGGTTTAGGGTTTAGGGTTTAGGGTTTAGGGGTTTAGGGTTTAGGGTTTAGGGTTTAGGGTTTAGGGGTTTACCACCTCCTCCTCTACCACCTCCTCCTCTTCTGGGGCCGGCCGCCCTCCCAGCCGTGCCGCCTCATGTGGACCTCCATCGCCAGAGCCTCCAGGTTATTGGTGTGGTTGTTCTGGGAGTTGTGGTCTCTGTGGTGTATGTGGGTGTTGGAAGTGAGTGTAGTGTCGGGGTGCAGGTCGGCCCTCAGCACCAGCTGGACCACCTTCACCAAGTCAACGTGGTACTTCAACTTGTGCCAGTGACGCTCTTCCAAGCTGGTGGGCTCAATCACGGGGCCAGGTACCCTGCAAGCTTGAATGGTGACGGCGAGGCAGCCAGTCTCGGCGCACCAGCTGTCTGTGGAACCGGAGCTGCCGGCCGCCCAGCCCACCGCCACTAAGCTTCAGGTACGAGCCATAACCACAAGCCCGACACTTCGACTCTGGCTGTGGTGCCTTCCCTCTTGGCTGAACCGAAGCAGGCATAGTTTCCAGTTTACCAGGTGTAGGGTTTAGGGTTTAGGGTTTAGGGCGGGAGGAGGCATGGCTTTAAGATGAAGTTTTGCGTAGCTTTTAGAGCCCTGACTTGAGACAATCCGTATGAACGCTGAAAACCCAGTACACCTCTGTAAAACCTTCATACAACGTCCTATGCACTTGTTTAAGGGTATTCCCGAAAAACATTCCCGAAAGAACGCTTGAATTGCATGTATTGGGCTCTGTGGGTAGGCCCCTAAACCCTAAACCCTCAAGAAAGAAATAGACAGAAATTGCATGTCGTCGTTCACCTTGAACTCCCTAAACCATCCAAAAATGGAGTCCGTTCCAGCCCCAGCCCGGCGTCAAAGGTTAAAACAGCCCCAAACTTGACATCAGGTTCTCCTGGAAACCCTAAACCCCTAAACCCTAAACCCCCAAGCCCCAAACCCCTAAACCCTAAACCCCAAGCCCCAAACCCCTAAACCCTAAACCCCAAGCCCCAAACCCCTAAACCCTAAACCCCAAGCCCCTTAAAGTTCCCTTTTTGGAGCCCATATAGTTCCTTT